ACATACACAGGCCACTTGCCTTATTGGCCCACATACACAGGCCACTTGCCTTATTGGCCCACATACACAGGCCACTTGCCTTATTGGCCCACATACACAGGCCACTTGCCTTATTGGCCCACATACACAGGCCACTTGCCTTATTGGCCCACATACACAGGCCACTTGCCTTATTGGCCCACATACACAGGCCACTTGCCTTATTGGCCCACATACACAGGCCACTTGCCTTATTGGCCCACATACACAGGCCACTTGCCTTATTGGCCCACATACACAGGCCACTTGCCTTATTGGCCCACATACACAGGACATTTGCCTTATCGGCACACACACACACACATACAGGACACTTGCCTTATTGGCCCACTACACAGGATATTTGCCTTATTGGCCCACATACACAGGACATTTGCCTTATTGGCACACACACACACACAGGACACTTGCCTTATTGGCCCACATAAACAGGACATTTGCCTTTTTGACCCACATACACAGGACACTTGCCTTATTGGCACACACACACAGGACACTTGCCTTATTGGCCCACATACACAGGACACTTGCCTTATTGGCACACATAAACAAGACACTTGCCTTTTTGACCCACATACACAGGACACTTGCCTTATTGGCACACATACACAGGTCATTTGCCTTATTAAAAAACATACACAGCACACTTGCATTATTGGTGCACATACACAGGACATTTGTGGTATTGGCACACATACACAGGAAACTTGCCTTATTGACCCACATACACAGGACACTTGCCTTAAAGGCCCACATACACAGGATATTTGCCATATTGGCCTAGAATCACAGGACACTTTCCATATTGGCCTACAATCACAGCACACAGCCAAATCAGCCCACATACACAGAACACTAGCCTTATTTGTCCATATAAGAGAAGTGCTCATTTAAATTAAATGTGATGAATAAATATAAGTATGAAATGTTTACTATTATGTTTACTATATGGAATCATAAAGACATTATTTTTGAAAACCTGTACAAAAATATAAATGAATTTTGAAATTAATGATAAATATAATTGTATATATCAATAAAAATATTTGACATTGGACAATGAATTTCTTGTATGGTGAACAAATCTCCTACAGTTGTGCTTTTGGACACTTATGTGACTTATATGACTTATATGACTTATGTGACTTATGTGACTTATATGACTTATATGACTTATATGACTTATATGATTTATATGACTTATGTGACTTATGTGACTTATGTGACTTATGTGACTTATATGACATATGACTTATGTGACTTATATGACTTATGTGACTTATATGACTTATATGACTTATGTGACTTATATGACTTATATGCTCTAAAAGCACCAGCTGATGAGGAACTATGATATTGTCTGATGTAGAATTTGTTTTTACCCTATTACAAATATTGTAGGTATTATCTTCCTTATGGAAGTTTTCAGCATTGGGCAAAAAAAATGATTTCAACAAATCTTGACTCCTTTTTTTCTTTGAACAATTCAAGCATCAAATTAAAATTGCTCATTACAGCACAGTGAGGCTAAACAACAATGTTTCAGTGACTAAGGTGAGATTTCGATCAGGAAAGAGAACAGAATAGATTTTACTATGTAAGTATTTGCTAAGTCTTAGTCTTTCCATGTAAGGCCTTGACAAAATTTTGCTGTGATTATTATCAGAACACAGATTTTACTGCTGTGTTTAGTTTTAAAGCAGAGATAGTTTCTTCTGCTGTGTTTAGCATCAAAGTGCAGGTAGTTTTTACTGCTGTGTTTAGTATCCAAGAATAGATAGTTTTTACAGTTGTGTTTATTGTCCAAAAGCAGATAGATTGTACTGCCTTTCCAACTAAGACTGTCCAGATTTTACTCTCTTCAAGTAAGGTTTTGGCAGTGTTTTACTGTAATTACCGTCCAAGCACAGATAATTTTACTGCCCTGTTTAGTGTCAAGGCATAGGTAGTTTTTACAAAATATGAAATGAGAAGAAAAAAATAAGCAATTATAGGTACCAGTTATTTTGTGTTTATTCCCCAATGTTGGTTTCTGTGGCCAAGTGGTTAGAGCATCAGTCTTGGATCTGGAGGTCACACGCTGGAACCCAGGTTGACTTATATCAAAGACTTATAAAAATGGTACTAACAGCTGCCTCACTTAGGCACTCAGCATTAAGAGGTTAGTGTTAGGACTGTTCAGCCTTTGTCAGGATAATGTGACTCGGTTAGACATGGTGCTACATGTCTGTGGGATGATGCTCCTGAGTGCTTGACATCACTCTATACTGCTACACTGCAGACTATGTAGCAATAAGACTAAAAAAAATTTAAAGTTACGTTAAAAATCTAAATCACACACATACACACACATAATGTTCGTTTTTGCAAACTATTTGGAATGAAATACTTTGTTATATGCTGCTGTTGATATAATTTAATTAGCTAAAGCATTCTTTTTGTATTATTTAATCTAGTTAAAGCATCCAATTGATATTATTTAATCAAGTCAAAGCATCCTATTGGTATTATTTAATTTAGTTAAAGCATCCCATTGATATTTAATCAAGTCAAAGCATCCCATTGGTATTATTTAATCTAGTTAAAGCATCCTATTGATATTATTTAATCAAGTCAAAGCATCCTATTGGTATTATTTAATCTAGTTAAAGCATCCTATTGATATTATTTAATCAAGTCAAAGCATCCCATTGGTATTATTTAATCTAGTTAAAGCATCCTATTGATATTTTTTAATCAAGTCAAAGCATCCTATTGGTATTATTTAATCTAGTTAAAGCATCCTATTGATATTATTTAATCAAGTCAAAGGATCCCATTGGTATTATTTAATCTAGTTAGACATGGTGCTACATGTCTGTGGGATGATGCTCCTGAGTGCTTGACATCACTCTATACTGCTACACTGCAGACTATGTAGCAATAAGACTAAAAAAAATTTAAAGTTACGTTAATTTAACATACACACACATAATGTTCGTTTTTGCAAACTATTTGGAATGAAATACTTTGAGTGTTATATGCTGCTGTTGATATAATTTAATTAGCTAAAGCATTCTTTTTGTATTATTTAATCAAGTCAAAGCATCCTATTGGTATTATTTAATTTAGTTAAAGCATCCCATTGATATTTAATCAAGTCAAAGCATCCTATTGGTATTTAATTTAGTTAAAGCATCCCATTGATATTTAATCAAGTCAAAGCATCCCATTGGTATTATTTAATCTAGTTAAAGCATCCTATTGATATTATTTAATCAAGTCAAAGCATCCCATTGGTATTATTTAATCTAGTTAAAGCATCCTATTGGTATTATTTAATCAAGTCAAAGCATCCTATTGATATTATTTAATCAAGTTAAAGCATCCTATTGATATTATTTAATCAAGTCAAAGCATCCCATTGGTATTATTTAATCTAGTTAAAGCATCCTATTGATATTATTTAAGTCGAAGCATCCTGTTGGTATTATTTAATCTAGTTAAAGCATCCTATTGATATTATTTAATCAAGTCAAAGGATCCCATTGGTATTATTTAATCTAGTTAAAGCATCCTATTGATATCATTTAATCAAGTCAAAGCATCCCATTGATATTATTTAATCAAGTCAAAGCATCCTATTGGTATTATTTAATCTAGTTAAAGCATCCTATTAATATTATTTAATCAAGTCAAAGCATCCCATTGGTATTATTTAATCTAGTCAAAGCATCCTATTGGTATTATTTAATCTAGTCAAAGCATCCTATTAATATTATTTAATCTAGTCAAAGCATCCCATTGATACTATTTAATCAAGTCAAAGCATCCCATTGATATTATTTAATCAAGTCAAAGCATCCCATTGATATTTAATCAAGTCAAAGCATCCTATTGATATTATTTAATCAAGTCAAAGCATCCCATTGGTATTATTTAATCAAGTCAAAGCATCCCATTGATATTATTTAATCAAGTCAAAGCATCCCATTGGTGGCGCTCTACAGTTTCATATTTAGCATAGGGTTAAAATTTTAAAAACAAAGAGTTTGCTGGGTTTCCTCACTAGTTATACTGGTTATTTAAAAGAGACTTTGTATATCTTAGGTGTTGTTCAAAGAACTTTTAATTCCCTTTATTTTGATGTATGATTGATGGGTGTAATATGGGTTAGAGAATATACAGCTTGGCCTTACTTCAGATGTGCATCTTTCAAAAACTGCTAGCTCTACTTGCTCATTTTCACTTGTCGAACTTCAGAGGTAAATTGAAAAAAAAGAGCCGATAACTTTTTTTACATTTTATGTATTTGGTAATTCAGTCATTGCACTTTTAGAAACTGGTATTATCTAGTTTGGCAAAATTCATTTTCCATATTTTAATAACTGCCAAGAAAAGTGTAATTTAAACAAATTTAAGTTGATTTTTGGAGCACAAGGGAGCAGTCATTTTAGTTAGCAGTGTCCTAAGATCATTTAAAATTTCCAAAAGTACAATATCCAAAGAAATTTCATCCACATTACATGAAAGTAGTATATAGGTATGCCAACATTCTCTCCACTGTGCATGTTTAAAATGCAAACAACTTCACCTTACATGCATCACTCTCTCAAAAGTACATAATAACTGGTGAGCGCCACCATTGGTATTATTTAATCAAGTCAAAGCATCCCATTGATATTATTTAATCGAGTCAAAGCATCCCATTGATATTTAATCAAGTCAAAGCATCCCATTGATATTATTTAATCAAGTCAAAGCATCCCATTGATATTATTTAATCAAGTCAAAGCATCCCATTGATATTATTTAATCAAGTCAAAGCATCCCATTGATATTATTTAATCAAGTCAAAGCATCCCATTGGTATTATTTAATCAAGTCAAAGCATCCCATTGATATTATTTAATCAAGTCAAAGCATCCCATTGGTATTATTTAATCAAGTCAAAGTATTGTATTAGTATTATTATATCAAACAGCTAGGGTGGCTTAGTGGTTAGAGCATCCTCCTTGGATGCAGAAGGTCTTGGGTTTGACCTCCCGACTAAGTCATACCAAAGACTTATAAAAATGGTACTAACAGGTCAGCCTGTGTCAGGATAATGTGGCTGGGTAAATTGTTTCTTAATTTGTAAAAGCTTTTTATTATCTTTTGTTTCTAATGTTCATATCTAAACTTAAGCATATTTTTACCTTGTTTTATAAGCACTTTGTTATTTTTAAAACACTGAGGTTTTCAATTTACTGAATTGATAAAGAGACAATGTCTAGAAAGAAAGCACTGTATTCCTTGTAAAATTTGTAATACTTAGAATTTTTATTTACTTAAATTTCATATTTGTTGTCTTGTACGTAAGCTTTTCTGATATGTGAAACCATTATTTTCCACGTGCGCTTAGGCAGGGGAAGTAACTTCACAAGCCTTTACTGTTGTTTTCTTTATGTATCTTGTAATATACCTCTATCTTACTTTGTTGGGGTAGGTTGTCTTGTTATTGTTATAGTTATCTAGAGGGTAATCGCTGACGGTGTAATTTGCCGGAAACTAGTAAATATCAATATAATGTGTGAAACTTATGGGTGGAATAGATAAAGATATAAGCAGGTATAAAGAACATAATAACAGAGCACCCATTAGAAACACAAATCATAAAATTGAATCAAAATTCATAACAATAAAATTCATAAACAAATGTGATAAAGCATTATGATTAAAAGATACACTTCTTTTCTTTTGAATTAACTTATTCAAATGAATTTCAAATAGAAATATGCTTATACCGATAGCCGATCTGTTAAAAGATAGAATTAAATTATCATCAAATCGAAAAAATTGCCTTGTACAGTTCATAACCTGATGGTCTTCATTTAGTCCAAATTCCACAGCGACTGTTCCTTTTGACTTCCTTGTGACTGTAAGTCTGGGTCCTTTCCACTTTTCCCTTTCTTTTTAAAATTTTCAGGTGTCTCGCCCCTTTTAGCCCTTCCAACTTTTGTGTTTTCACCCTGGTTTTGTAAATACGTGTTTCGTCACGTCACATGGAGCTACCTCACCCTGTGTTGCAAGGTCTGCCGATCTCCAGACAATTGATTCCCTTGGATAATGTTATGAATGAATTTACTTCTTAAATTCGACCTGGAGTCTTTTCCGTTTTGTTTTCTCTTGTAGAAAAGTGTAGACTAATTTAGAATTCTGAGATTAGCACATTTAAACCGAAAGTTTTCATGTGTAACCACACCCTTTTACAGCGTCTCCAATCCAAATGAAATATATTTCCCGCCTGAACTAGGCTCAAAACAATGCAATTCGTTTGGCAAACTACTCTTTCCTGCAATATTTCAAATCTGACAACTCTGCTATAGGTCGGAAATTAACCCCGGACTTAAACAATTTAAACAATTTAAACAAAAGTAGCCTTAATTTAAACAAAAATCACTAAACTCATGACAGAGACGGTACCAGTCCGTGCATTGTGGTTTTTAAACATGCGCAGTTCCTATATATCTAAATGTACGTGTGTCCAACTAAATGTTTCCTTCAGAGATCGACAGAAAATTTGCCCCTCTACATGTCTAAGGTGTATCTGCTGATTTTATTGTTATTAATATGTGTATTACCTGATGTTTCTTACACATACTATTATGCACTACTTTTTTATTTTAATATTCAGTTTGTGTTTTACTGATGTATGTAGGGGTTTTTTATTATAAGAGAAAGTAAATATCACTTTCTGACCCAATCTTGCTCCTTGAAAATGGATTGACGCTTTTGAAAATGTCATGTACATCTAGACAGATAAGCAAATCACATCCGTGAAATACTGGTTATAAAATCCTTCATCAGGATAGCAGTAGAAGCAGTTGTTATTATGTTGAAGTTGGTGAAGAATGTCAAGTTACCCGCCCCTTATGATGGTCCTGAGCTATACCTGGAGAGTTTGAAAGTTTTCTTTCATGTAACCTTAATTTGTAGCAATCACTTTGGGAATTCAATTCAGAGTCATATTTATTTATTTTTGTTATTAAAAAAAATTGTTATTGGTTTAACACCATTTTTCAGCACCGGATATGCTATACATGTTAGGTAATATAACTGGTCAAGAAAGACTCGGAAAATCCCAGAAATAAACACCAACCAATGGGACGCCACCGACAAACTTTCTCATGTACTTGCATTGAACGAGCCTTAGACCCAGACCCACGTAGACAAGAGTTCAAATGGCAGTGGTCCGTAATGGTGAGTGTTTTAGAACACTCCATCACTTGGGGCCCCGAAAAAGTTTTGTGATTTCAAGAAAAGGGATTTTCGAAGAATAAAGCAAAAAATAACTTACCAGCTAGCAAAACTAAATCTAATTATACCCTGATCCCAAATCATATTTCCCCAGTAACTATTGCCACGCTAACTTTAGATAGGGCATATATATCATTTATTCAGATAAACAGTGGTTAAGGTTTTGGTTAAGGTTTTTCTTCATGATCATAATACACAAATTCATGGAAGGTTAGCAATCGTACTCATGCAGTAGAATTAGGAAACTCTTGCCATTTTAAACCCATGCCGTTCATCTGATCCTTTTGAAAAATCAAACATTTTTTGAAAATATTGGTCAAGTTTACGATTAGAAGTTTTTCTGAACAGTTAAAAGTACAGGTTATTTCATCTCTTCTTCTTCTTCCTCTCTCTCTCTCTCTCTCTCTCTCTCTCTCTCTCTCTCTCTCTCTCTCTCTCTCTCTCTCTCTCTCTCTCTCTCTCTCTCTCTCTCTCTCTCTCTCTCTCTCTCTCTCTCTCTCTCTCTCTCTCTCTCTCTCTCTCTCTCTCTCTCTCTCTCTCTCTCTCTCTCTCTCTCTCTCTCTCTCTCTCTCTCTCTCTCTCTCTCTCTCTCTCTCTCTCTCTCTCTCTCTCTCTCTCTCTCTCTCTCTCTCTCTCTCTCTCTCTCTCTCTCTCTCTCTCTCTCTCTCTCTCTCTCTCTCTCTCTCTCTCTCTCTCTCATCCGATCGATTCTTTGCTTTCATATCATGATTGTCTACATTAATATCCCAATTCATCTGCCCTGTTACTGGTATTGCTATTTTAATTAGAGGAAAATAAATACTAATCTGAATCAGTAGTTACACTGTGCGTGTGTGTGTGTTTTTGATGGACATGCAAAACTTCTGAACTATTAGGATGACATTGCAAAGAAAAGAAAACAACAAATTTATACATATATTTTAAAGCAGAATAAGTCACATTTATATAACGGAACTGATTGAAACTTCATGCTGATAATTTGGCATAATATGACTGATTTTGACTCATCTTGGTGACTGTTTTGGCGTAGAACCTAATTCTGATGACTTTTTGAGCACAATATCATCATTATCACTGTGAATATATTTTTTCAAAGACTATCATTTTACAAATTTTACAAGCAGAAATATAAATAAATAGCTCTGATATTGTAAGACAGCTTAAGATTTTTAGATGCATCTTAATTGATGTTAGCAAACAGTTTACCACATTGCAAATTTGAGTACATTGATGGAGTGTAGGCATTATGCAACTAAATTACCACCCACTGAATAAATTTACAGTTATGTAAAATTAGTTTTAGTTTTCAACTAACTGGGTACATTTATCGTGTTTTATAGCTTACCACAAACTGGGTACATTGATAGTCGTGTTTTATAGCTTACCACAAACTGGTACATTGATAGTAGTGCTTTAAGTTTACTACAAACTGGGTACATTGATAGTAGTGCTTTATAGCTTACCGCAAACTGGGTACATTGATAATAGTGCTTTATAGCTTACCACAAATTGGGTACATTGATAGTATTGCTTGATAGCTTACCACAAACTGGATACATTGATAGTAGTGCTTTATAGCTTGCCACAAACTAGGTACATTGATAGTAGTGCTTTATAGCTTACCACAAACTGGCTACATTAATAGTAGTGAATTACAGCTTACCACAAACTGGGTACATTGGTAGTCGTACTTTAAGCTTACCACAAACTGGATACATTGATAGTATTGCTTTATAGCTTACCACAAACTGGGTACATTGGTAGTAGTGCTTTATATAGCTTACCACAAACTGGGTACATTGATAGTAGTGCTTTATATAGCTTACCACAAATTGGGTACATTGATAGTAGTGCTTTATATCTTAACCACAATTTGGGTACATTGGTAGTCGTGCTTTATAGCTTACCACAAACTGGATACATTGATAGTAGTGCTTTATAGCTTACCACAAACTGGGTACATTGATAGTAGTGCTTTATAGCTCAACACAAACTGGGTACATTGATAGTAGTGCTTTATAGCTCAACACAAACTGGGTACATTGATAGTAGTGCTTTATATCTTAACACAAATTGGGTACATTGATAGTAGTGCTTTATAGCTTAACACAAACTGGGTACATTGATAGTAGTGCTTTATAGCTTACCACAAACTGGGTACATTGATAGTAGTGCTTTATAGCTTAACACAAACTGGGTACATTGATAGTAGTGCTTTATATCTTAACACAAATTGGGTACATTGATAGTAGTGCTTTATAGCTTACCACAAACTGGTACATTGATAGTAGTGCTTTAAGTTTACCACAAACTGGGTACATTGATAGTAGTGCTTTAAGTTTACCACAAACTGGGTACATTGATAGTGCTTTATAGCTTACCACAAACTGGGTACATTGATAGTATTGTTTTATAGATTACCACAAACTGGATACATTGATTGTATTGCTTGATAAGCTTACCACAAACTGGATACATTGATAGTATTGCTTTATAGCGTACTACAAACTGGGTATATTGATAGTATTGCTTTATAGCTTACCATAAACTGGGTACATTGATAGTATTGCTTTATAGTTTATCACAAACTGGGTACATTGATAGTAGTGCTTTATAGCTTACCACAAACTGGGTACCATGATGGTAATATTTTATAAAATTAGCCTACTACCAACTGGGTATAAACATTCGTGTTTTATAGGTTTCCACCTACTGGGTACATCCGTCATTGTGTTGTATAAAATTAGCTGACAGCCAA